TTTATTGACACGGAACGTGCACCTCCAAAGGGAGAGATGCTATGGCCTACCTTCTCCCAGTACAGTTTCCCCCATCTTCTCTGCACATGTATATATATATATAGATAGATAGATAGATAGCAGTGTATATATATATCTATATCTATCTATAGTCTACCGCTACATTCACAATTTGCCCCACAGCTTCAGTACTGCGCCCGCCCAACCACCACCACCACCACGCAAATCACCCAACACCACTATGGCATGCGAATAAGGTCCTCCGTCTCGACTTCTCCACTCGCCCCCCGCTTGATTTTGTCACAATCAAAGACACCGCTTGGCAGACTTACGGCCTGTGCGGTGATGTAGCAATCCGATGGCACCGCCCAAGCTACACACCATGTACAAGTGGAATGGGCATTGCAGACGCCGCGATCGTGATAGAGGCAAACCTCGTCTCCTAGATCGTTTCCCGCATTACTTACCAGGGCAACGACTCCTTTGATGAGATCTGCGAAGCCCGTGCGGGCTGGAGGGCGGGGTGCCACCTCAGCGGTAGCCACCACGCCGCCGTCGGCTGCACAACCGACAACGACCACGAAAAGAATTGTTGTCGCCATTGAGATGACGAACCTTTGCGAGCCCCGCCGTTCGCAAGCGAAAGATCGCGAGGAGATCGCCATAGCCGTAGAGAATACTCGTGCTCGGTTGCGCGCGCTCCAATGGCACCAGGGGGGGGGGGGGGGGGGGGGGGGGGGGGGGGGGGGGGGGGGGGGGGAGGGGAAGGGGAGGGGAATGCAGTGAAATGCAGTGAAATGCAGTGAACGCCGCCCAGCACTGCTGTGTCCTCTGCACCCTGAAGAAAAAAAAGTTAACTTCCTCAGACCCGCTATGCAGTGAAATGCAGTGAACGCCGCGCAGCACTGCTGTGTCCTCTGCACCCTGAAGAAAAAAAAGTTAACTTCCTCAGACCCGCTACTTTAACGCCGTGAATTTTTTCGTTCGTACCCGCGTACCCGCCGGATGCGTGCGAGAGGAGACACCGACGCCTCACCAGTTGGGCTTCCCGCCTTTTGTATATTGTGCGTGCGTTGCGCGCTACTGGACAACACCGCGCGACCGTGCGGGGTTGGAGCGACTTGGCGCGACAAGGATTCACCGCGACAAACGCGATTTTTGGTAAGGTTTGCCTCAACTCCCCCTCCCCTCCACCTTCCCTCCCCCCTCCCCCGTCCCCCGTCCCCCGTCCCCGCCCGCCCGGGGGCAAGGTCCCACTTGCGAAAATTAGGAGATTTCGGCCGTTGATCTTTGCAATCTACGGTCAGTATCTCCGTAATAACTTCGTATAGCATACATTATACGAAGTTATACGATTTTTTTATTTTTATTTTTTTAATACTCAGGTTA